AGAATGGCTCAGGTTCTCCTGCAGGCCCAAAAAGATAACAGATATTAAGTTTAAAAAGGCTTCCAAATCACATGTCTGCACTTAGCCAGCGAAAAAAATTGCTTCCGATTACACGTTTTGCTCAGCATAGCTTAACTCCAATTACCTTTGACAACGAACGAGAAGACGCCCTTAACCAGCTTGACTAGGTCTTCGTTGATAAAGGCCTCCAATGCAGAGAAGACTCCTTCCACTGAGTCAGCGCTGGCGATAGTGGCTTGAGCCATTTGGGCGTTTTGAGGCTCCTGAAATTAATTGATAATAAAACCTAATTTTACTGAGCGATTTTGAACGTTTGCTTTCAATAGATACATGCTCACTAACGTCTACTAACACAGATAACGAAACATACAAAAATCCAGCGAGTGAGGCCTAATAATAGAAAAAGTGCAGCGAACAAATACAGATTGACCCAAACCTAGTTTTGCACCAGGAAACGATTCTTTAGTTCCACAACTTCGACAGTGCATTTAGCTGCGGATACGCTAAAGAATTAGCACACGCTCGCAAACCGATGGTATGAAGCACTGCCGGCGAAATAGAAGCAGCGTCTAGTGGCGACCGTAGCTGACAATCAACTGATGGACAATACTATCAAGGCTGCCTTATCGTGGGTGTCCGCTGGACATGTAATTAGGAGCGATGGTGGTCACGTCCAGATGCGCGTTTCTTTACTGTCGAATAACAACAACAGCTGCTTTGAACAGGGATAAGGAGTCTGATGGAGACGGGAGCGCGGCCGGTAGATTCCTTCTCCGCTTGACACATCCCTCTCGCTCCAAAGTGCGAAGGGACCGTTCACCAAAACCGAGAACATGGAAATCAGCGCAGATAGATTGGGTAAAGGGACAGATGAGCAAAGGTATCGTCCTGTTGTCAATGGATGTTTCATGAAATTCCAACGCAGATACCGATACAAAAATCGTCGAGGAGCTGCCGTTATTGCCTAGTTTGAAAGGTACAAAAGAAAATGTATAGCCCAGCAGAGCACCAATACAGACGACGACGACAATAAAAACACCCACTACCGCTTTTAATGTAGTCAATAGCAGCAGCAGGGTGAAGCAGTTCAATGTTTTATCGTGCCAACGGGTGCAGTAATAAAAGTTAATTGTTGACTACAAAACTGTTGCTTGTTCCTTGGCTGGTTTGATAGGGTTTGTTTAGTTTGACATTTGATTTTGGTGCGCGTCCTTTTTCAGCAAGATCTAGTTAACGTAGACACCTTCGGGTAAACTTACAACAGGAGCTGAAGTTTCGGTAGACCCGACCTCGGTCCTCGAGGCCATACCAAGATACGATGAGATATCCATGACTAATGAGGTTTGAAGGCGTAATAACAATAAGACAACACAAGGTACCTCAAGCGACGACTATACTCCGATGAGGTTGACGGGTATGTGTGAAGTAGTGAATGTTGAGCAGGGCAAGATCGTCTGCAACGACAGGGACTCCGGGATTAGCGGTACTGAAATGGCAAAAATCAAAGCACAGAAGGGTTGAACGGAGAGGTCGGAAGATATCAACGGCGTACTCATATATAACCGGTGAATTAAGAGAGATCAGTAGAGATGTTTAGGAAAACGAAATATCAGGAGCTCCCAACAGCGAGTTTCAATTAAGTACAACCAATGCATCAAGGCCTTCCACCGAAGTCCCTAAATGATCCGCGAACGCGTACCATGCAAAATCTACATAGACGCTCAATGTTCTAGCAAATAATAGAACTATAAAGACGTAAAAAAGATACACGCGATTGATTTGGCTGAGACACCTATTAATAGTCCAAACAGAGCAGAAAAGAAATCGAACCTCTAAGCGGTGAAATCAGACCATTACGAAACAAATATGATCGAAATAGTATAAATACAATGAGAAGTATTGGATGTAAATACGCCAAAGCCAATTGTAATGATAGCTATACAAAATGCTTGACAAAAAACAAATAAAATTCTATTAGAGAGCTAACGATTATCACACCCAAACAGTAAATCTAGATTAACCTAATCATTTAGGAATAGTTACCCATATAGTAGTTGGACATATCCACAAATTTACTAACTGGGGTTTGTGATGCTAACTGAGAGAACTCTCGCAACCTCACAATCCCGTTCGGCAATGAACACCCATATGTACACAATTAGTCGTGACTGAAACTAACGCAATAAACAAAATATCTATAAATCGCACGAAGACATGAACGACAGTCTTCTAATAAACTGCGAAATGATCTTCTTTGAAAAGTTATTGTCATCGGCTTGCGATGAAACGAGTCATCTATCAGTTGATTCTCACTCACGGTCGTTTAACGGACGACAACTAGGCAACGCTTCTGAAGGATAGCTTCCAATCGGAAGACATCAACACGGCGACTGACTAAATGGAGTTCACGGCTACCTATGTACATCTCTGCTCGATACTGTGCTTATAAGTTAGCGAGTTTACTATAATAACAGCAATCCTCGGAAATGGAGTTAACAGGCGGACATTTAAATCTTCTAGATAAAGCTCGATTTCCTGGTCCATGGATTACTCGTGTTTTTCGTATGTACACATGGCTTTGTGGGTGCTTTACGTGTCCTGTGTGGGCTCGTACATGAGCTGGAATGCTATCATCGGCTAGGCAAAAAAAAATCCTTTCTCGCGTTGAGACCCGTTCCACATATTATAATTGGATGCGCTGTTACCGTTGCTCATCTGCGGCGTGATAAGTACGTAGTTGACGTCTAGATTATGAATAGAAGACGGGTGCGCAGGAGTTAGCCTACAGCTTTATGCCGTACCAATCGAAGGCTCGAACATGACAAGCCAGCGTCACAATAGACTTTGTTCATTAGCGATAAAGGGATACTGACGTGTCAAAGCATCGTACGATCGTCGGCTTCCTCATTGAACGTAGCTGGAGACTGACCAAAAGAGAAGCTTACAGACAAATTCATTTTACTGATTTCTTAGTGAAGTAAATATATTTTCTTGGTTTTAGTGAAAAACGTTAATGTGCCCTGTTGCACAATTTGACTGTCAAGGAAATTTAGGTTCCATTTTAAGTAAATGAGAATAAAGGTACTCATGAAAGAATCGGACGTGTCTTCAAGTTCGCTCGTGCGTCAGTTTAGTTAATATGTAGATAGTAAGTATGACATAGACACTTTCATTATTGGACAACAAGAGCTTTTCGCATAATTTTATGAAAATGGCCAAAAGCAGTGAGAAGGACTAGAAAAGTGACCTAACATGCCGCAGGCCATTGCTTAGCTGGGCGGGCATTGATTCATAAACTGTTCATCAGATCAATAAAGCGATAATTAATGATGGTAAGTAAAGAACAATTGTTGACAAGAGGTACTGCTTATAAGCTCAAACTGTTCGTAATCAGTCGAAATTTGTCCTAGCTGAATTTTAGCCTGATACAGTTCATTGGAAGCTCGGAGCTTTCTGGCATTCACCAAGAGAGCTATAGTAAATGAAGCCATACACGACTGAACCTAAATCGTCAAATATGCTTTACGAGGACTGTTACGTAAGTTAGACGGTGTCAACTGTCTTTTGGCGCCGGCGAGTAAATTGCTAAGCATAAACATTGTACTAAAATCAAGTGTACTGGAAAAATCAATTCAACTGATAACCAGAGCATGACCTCATGTATGCCTAACGTATCTGTGAAAAGCTGTTATTTTTCAATAGCGATATCTAAATTTTCAATGGCTCCTACAAAGAAGTTCTTCCTTTAGCAGACTGAAAACAACTGAGTTAATCAAACGCAAAAATCACTGACGACGACGACGACTATCAACTCACTGCGATCATTAACGATTCAGACGTGACGTAAAAACGTTGGTGCATCAAGCTTCTGATTTTCTGGCGATTTTTACCTAGCCAATTATTCCGATAAACCCCCTGTAGAATATACCAGATACGATTAGTCTAGTTAAAGAGACACCAATATAGAATTTTATCGTTTATATTAATCGACTTTTCGTAAACATCGTTGTCACTCCGACGTCATATTCATCGTGACCCTAAGTATGTTTTTAATAAAAAGTCAACTGATTGGCCAATTTATTTCTGTTACTATGGGATAGCAAGACAGAAAAACAGCTGCTTTGTTAAGGGTGAATTACATAAGAGTAGTGACGCTCATGTTTACGATGCTCATCGTCACTAGATGACTTCGACAATTTTCCGCAGTACAACTCGCAGAAGGTCGGCGTTGTACGCTGCGCGGGGCGTCGTTTTTGGCTCGTTTGCTTCTTCACTACGGCCACTTCTGTCCGCACGTAAGTAGACGATCGTTTGTGGGATCGTTCGTCGAGACGGGCCACAGCTGTTCCACTGGGAACCATAGAATCAGCGATGAATCGAAAAGAAGGAAAGAATATATATAGTTAAACGCGTCGGATCGTACACTAAACCATGAGGAAAATCGAAAGCGCGAAATACTATGACTGAAGTCTATCTGGCTTCGCTGATCCTGCTATGACAAGAACATGATTGGCTCAATACGGGTGTCTGTTTCCGATTGCTTGCTTTGTTTAAGCACCAGAGCGGAACAGTCAGTCGCCGAAGATTGGACAATATCACCCAGGAGTATTTGTTTTCACTTGAAAATGGGAATAGTAAGTTAGTTTAACTTAGGGTACTTCTGGCCAAGCGAACCTCGCTTCACAACTGAAACAGTTCGTCCTTTACGTCGTTATACATCCGCGTTTCATTGAGATTTGCCTACATGGCAACTAGACGTATATTATTGCCCTATTCCCAACTTGACTATCGGGCAGAAAGCAGCAAATCACCCTCATACCGGAACTTTATATTGTATTCTGTACAGAACTATATGCGAACGCTCTTGGTAGAGAGAATTAAATGGCAAAATGTGGGTCGAACTTGGCCTCTCTTGTATTTCTTGGATTCATCACCTAAACTGTACAAGTCATTGTATTGTGCTTTTTATTGATACAATTGAAAAAAACGCCTTCAGAGATTGCTTGGTCTATTTCTCAGCGATTAGTCGTTATGTGTTTGTTAGTCTGTGGCAGATTTTGTCAGTGCTGGCATTTTTACGAGAAACACACCAGTACCACGTTACAGGTTTTCATTAGATCTTTTTATCCGAGAAGGCCAGGGGCTCGCTGGTTCAATCCCCGCCAATGACACATACTACAGGACAAATGTAAACATATGAAACAATGTGCTCTCCCTCGTTAAGTAATCTTTATCTAAAAAAGAGTAACTAGGACTAAGGAAGAGTAACACATAGGACTTTGGAGCGAATAGTCGCTGAACGTTACGGTTCAATCAGGCCTTATGAACCTACTGTTTTCTTCATCGTGGCCGGAATCTGCTAGGTAGCTGAAGGCTAAACAACATTGTTCATAACATCTTACACACCATACAATTCTTTATATATGGACTTTTCTGCAAATATTGTACTCAAAGAGATGATGATCAAGGCTGTTGCAAGACGAAATTTCATGTTCGACATATGCTGCTAGACTATTAGACTACAAATAGGTATATTTAAATGATTGCTTAGCGCTTACCGTTGTCGTACTGTCTGCGATTTGGTGCCTTGATGATTCTATATTCTGCTCGATTTCCAGAGATAAGACCGCTGATAACGATATATTTAGACATAATTTTGCATTTTTCTTTTCTTTTGTATAAATATGAACACGGCTAGAACGTCTATAGATATTAAGCGATCGATAAAATTATTGTTACGCTGATCTTACCGAACTTTCTTGGACGGGAGCAAACAACATGATAAGGTGTCCGCCTTTGAGACATGCGTCAAGTGCAAAGTTGGCATACCTTATACTCCTTAATAACGTTTGATTAGTTCCAGCCCCGGTACCTGTTACACGCTACCCTAATGAGTTAGCACATCATCTATTCCTTTGCCAATTTGGACTTCAAACATCCCTTAGAAACAGCTGACGCTGGGTAGCGGGGTCTGCATAGTAGCGGCCATCGGCAACAGTGTCGTTCGTTGAATACGTGCTGATACGATCTTGTTGTTTACTGAAGAACTGTCACCGCGAAAATATTAATTACTCATTTTATATCAGACTGTTTGGAACGGCAAAGCTCAAGGATTGTTCACGGTGGGAGAGGTGCTACGGGACCGTCAGATTGTCATCAAACCTGTCATAGCTCAAGTGTTGCATGGAAACAGTGGGTCGCTCTATGACGCTGTTGCGCTAAATGATGTTATAGCCTCCATCAGGCTTCCGCAACACCATTGTACTGCTGTCCTTGGCGAGCATGTTTGTTTATTTTATAGAGCGTGTTATTCTGGTAGGATCTTTCACTGATTCTCTTCATCGTTTCTATACACACGACCGTATAACGAATAGATGTCACAATTAAAAGCTTACCATCTAAGCAAACACCTAAATATCATGAAAGAAAACCTAATCGAGAGCTTTCCGCTGCTATTTTTCTAACGTAGGCGCTGTGGTTTGCCTGTCTAGTTCGTGTTTCAACTCTAAGAAATGTTCTGTTCAAGACCCTGATTACCCTGAAATAGACAGTGTAAAACAAATACATTTTATTTGTAAACAAAATGGTAGAGAAACACGTGGGAAGTTGTAAATCTATTTATGAAAAACCTTCTTGTTTTTAATATGTTTAATGTCAAATTTTACCTTCGAACAAGACAAAATAATAATAATATCATTTAGATTAATTTGTGAGTAGACTGGCAGCCATTAGGCCATTGTACCTCATCCTTGTGGCGCGTTGAAATGTGAAAAATTAAATGCTAATCGATTACAGAAGCGCATCCGTTACAGCTTAGGATTAAAAAAAACAAATAACTGGTATATTGCAATGCAGAAATAAAAACACATTCGTATCTGGGACCGTACCTCTGCGGGTTAATGGATCGCAGACAGGCACAATAACTTAAAACTGTTTGTTGGAGCCCTCGCGCGACGTGCTTGTTGAATACTTCTGCACAGGTCCAAAACTAACAAGATTATGTTGGAAATCTATCAGTCATACTTAGAATATGATGCGACAAATAGCTAAACGAGGAAATACTGACCAGTTGTCCAGCTTAGGCAGTTTTCCAACTTCTAGCGTTCACTTGCAGACAGGACTGTCTCGCAGCGAAGTTATTCTTTCCAGAAAATTTTAATGGAAAAATTTTCTACGAAACGCGTCCCATACGGAGGCTAGAGCCGCAGACAAACTTTCGCGTGTCTTATATACCTAATGAGGTGTCTGGCTCGTCGAAGTAATATTAAATCAAGCACAAACACAGAATTACGGGGTACAGAAAGGGTGGTGTGAATTTAGTGGGTACTATTGCAGTTAGAAAGTGCTGGCCAAAGCCCCACAATAATACAAGGCAAATACCCAGAAGTAAATGGGATTTAGATATTAACCTCTTGAAAATAACGTACTTAGCCCAAGCTAGCAAAACGGGCAACCTGGGCAACTTCAATGTTTTAGTAAGGTATTCACCTTGTGACCTTTTAGATCAAGACCTGTGTGTCAGATAATAAGTAATAACCGATCGAGGAGCAGTCCGAAACTTCCCGGTAAAGTTGCTTGACGCTATATTATATTTATCTACGTACTTCAGAATTCTTAGCATCAGCATCTCTCATATGAAGACAAACTGTTTTCCGAAGATAATAAAAGAGGCAGTGTATTAGTAAATTGCCCCTTAAGATGAGGGTGGCGCACATTGTAACAACGAAGTCAAGATCAAGATGATGGTGTATATAAATGTACAGTACCGAAAGCATCCAACAATCGCCCCATATATGCTGGTAAGGCCCTTAGGCACAACAAAATATCCTTTTCCAAAAAGAAGCTTTCGTACCAAATGTATATTCAATCGAAAGAGGACAATTTACTTAGTCTAAAAGTTCGATTTAGCCTTCCGATGCAATGTTAGTGCGGTTCTGGGCGTAAAGTTTGAAACATTTATTAGAAGTTCTACATTGACCAAATCAACATTAATAAGGCCATAGAGGAAAACGCGCGAAAGCTAACATAACTGCCTGGAGCAGCTGCAAAGGCAAATGTTTGACTTCAGCTTAAGCAGTAACAGATCTATGCATTTCTCCCATATCTCGCAGGTAGAATGATTATATAGGAAAAAGAAAAAAAAGCGGAATACAAAAGGAACAGGGGCATTTAGCAATGTGTAAAATAATACAGAAGGGACTTACATAGCGTAGTAATTTGTTTTTTCAACGATATCGAGCGATGGCGATGACGCCATTGCTCGTCTAGTAGCAAAGTTACTTGCCTTCTTGTTGAAACTGTTTTTCAGAGAACTTCTTAGCTAATAGCGTACGATAGTGTAAGTTAATTACGAAATGGCTCAACTTCTCGCCGGCAATTCCTTGAATAAATACGGCGAAAAACTAGCCTCAACGATTATGATTCGTACGTAAAATCTTCCAGAATGCATTCTGAAGCGTATCGCAGATATCGAAACAAATATATCAAACATTTAAAATGTGACGCAACCATACTTATATAGCAAACCACACGACCAACCTTGGCTATAACGGCACAAGCCATTTAATGCTTTATCCAAGTGTTAGGCCTCTACATTATAGATATTTGTTAGAAATCGCCTTCCTGCCTTGGGAAATGCGGTACTAATATACATTAGTTTGCCTTCCAGAATGTCCAGCCTTGGCTAGTGGCTCTCTGTACTTTACATGCTTAACACAATACGTCACGCAATTCCGTTCAAGTCAAGCACCCAGCGATCTGAAACATTCGTAAGCTTCTACGGTAATGTCCGTTTCAAACTTTCGCGTATAGCAAGCGAGCAATTGCAGAAGCAAGTAGGACACTTCCATAATGCTATCTCTGGACAAGATAATCACAAAAACTTACCGACTAACTAGAATATGTAGGTAGCAGTAAGGTCGGCGTATTCCACTGGACGAAGGCTGTCTCGTGAGTCTGACTATGCAAGAGCGAAATAGGACCGACTGCAATTATACTTTCCACTAGAAGATATTTGCTTTCTTTTCTTCTTCTGGGGGTCTCACACTTCGTTTACGCTATTATGTTGCTTACTCGACGAATGACAGCGATCACTCTCTGTATGAACAACCCGCGAGGCCGCTGCTTGCCAACGTTGACTCGGCTGTTTCTGCTTGGGGGCTGGATGAGATGTTGGCGCTTGGCGCCTGGCGCGCGTTGCGTCGCCCTCACAATGGCAACAGTAGCGGCGGCGGCGACGACGACGGCGACAGCGGTATTGACTCTCTCGGCAACAACGCTACTAGCGGCTCGGTCGTAGACAGACCAACCACCCGCGTTCGCTTGCTGTCCCGTGGCGACTCACATAGACTGCTCAACGTCCGACTAAGAGAGTTGCCTATCTGAAGCCTATCTGGGCAAGGGTGCAGCACGCAATGAACTAGGCGGTTTCATTTTGGCGTCTGAAATGGAACCAACACTCGCCTGATGAGGCAGTGTCAAACACCGTACACGGAACGACATCTACTATTATAATCGTTGCCGCAGCCGCAGGTGGCTGGCCGTATAGAATCTGTGAGCGTAAACCCACCCGTTGCTAGATAAGGCCCAAAAGTGTAATGCATTGTGATCAAATGTGTAATTATTGTTGTAGTGAGTTACGCAGAAGCCTCTGAGCTGGGTCAACTCGTTGACAAGAATACAATTACAGCATGGAACGACATAGACCTAAAAACCTTCGAGGATCTTTGCAGTGTCTCTCCATTAGGCTTAAACGACGGCTGAGCATCGTTCATGGCCGTGCTAAATAAATCATTGTTATTTCATATCCTTTTACCAATTAAGTTTAACCTGATCATAATTTTTCACTGATCATGTTTCTAGAATCTGTTTGGTATACCTGCATCCTGTACAAAAGTTGATGAGCGAACGAGTTGTCGCAAGCAATACGCTGCGTGTGAAGCGCCTGTTGTCCTTAATGACTAAGTCTCAATCCAACTTATGTACTTTAAAATCGATTGATAACTATACGGCTAAACTTGAAATAAACAACGGACTATCAACGACAGGAAGAAAATAATGTGGTATTGAACAATGGGTGAGAAATCCACTCCTTACAATGTGTTCTAGCCGAACGTTTGGTAGTACTTTACTGCCATATTCGTATTCACATAAAGAGTAGCTTTTTTTTTGTTTCTGAGATTTCTCCGACCGGCTGTGACGTCACAATATGATTTATTACTGAACTTGCAAGTAATGAACTTCCTCGTAAAAGCAGAGGTATCGATGCTTGCTGGGGACCGCTAACTTTAACCCGGTGCGTTCACTTAAGGCAACAAATTCAGGATGCAGTGATGGTGGGATTGATGTAGGTAGACGCTGTATTTTTCATATCTATAAAGGACACGCGTAAACATGGGTCAGTTTACTCAACTATTTACTGTTGGCAAAGACTACTCAGTTCGGTAGCAATAAATACATTCAAGCATTGTTAGAACAAAAAACGTTTTTTACTCCTCATTAGAGGATCTTCTACAGCGCTACATTTCCTTATGCATACCTTTTTGTCATCGCACAGATATATAGTGCGCGACTGCTTTGCCCAGATATATAGAAAAAACAAAAATAGCTACACGGTCGGCTGTAAGAATGGCCATATGTCTCCATATATCGAGTTAGTACATTATTCGAACTGGGTGATGTAAGGGCCCAGCGTAAAGCGTTGGACAAATATGGATGTGAGGGTCCAAAAAAGTCATTTTTAAACATCATTACTGATCTATCATTGTTTCATTCTCTAGGCAGCGAATAAGTTCGCATCTCAATGTTCTATAAGAAAGTTGTCTGTTTCTGCCGGCAACATCGGTTCAGCATCGTCTGTTTTCTAATGGCAAACTTCAACAAACGATAGTGCATTCATTGAAACGTTCGAGGGTTGAACATCAGTCGGATTTGCCAGTTGGCCAAATCGACTATCTTTTAAGTACATGACGAACCTTAACGCTCCCCGCTATCAGAGTTTCGCTTCGGAATCGAGTCGACGGCTCAGTTATTGCCAATACCATTGGCAAAGTGAAATATAGTAGATCTACAACGATCTAATATTGTTTAGGACAGTAAATATATGTGGGTGACAAAGGATCTTGCTTGCATTACCCCCACCAATAACGAAGGTGAATCCGTTTTTGAGCGACGCTTTCGAGGAAATCAAATAATCAGAATTGGAAAAGTAAAGGATTCAGTCTGATCCCGCCGGCGGTTTCGATTTGTACCTAGAGCACGGGTTCGTTCTGCGTTACAGCCGAAAAAAAGCATCGACCCCTGTTCTTGTTTGCCAAATATATCTTCGGGGTAAATATGTATCGCGAAGAGAGGCTCTATGATAAGGGCGTGACAAACTATATTCGTTTCTATGCTGGAACTACGTTTGCATACTAAACAAACTTACGGCATATAGAGGAAATGCCTTTAAAAAATGTTCGTAGTACTTTCTAATTATAACATTACCAGCATATAATTAGATTTTATAAATTATAACTGGAATTCATAAACTACTCTTCCACGATGCTGCTTGTTAGTTGCTTAACACTAGCATTAGGTTCTTGCACTGGAGGCCTGAAACAGGCCAGTTGACAATGACGTATTCTACTGCATATCGTGATTTAGATAAATTTATGTTGGTACAGAAAATTATCTTCTATAGACTGGCTTTTCTAATGCAGAGTAATAATATCGTCCGTTGGCTCGTGTGCTCTCACCGATTATACATCATTGTAGTAATGAAGAACGAAAAAAACACGTTTTTTTGTTCTAGTATCACAGATAAATTTGAACTGAGGCCGATTAAGAGACTTCATCTGCCTAACTCTACGGATCCATATGTTTTCGTTTTTTATTAAATATTCAATATTCAAATAAACAATTGCGACATTGGATCTATGCAGTTATTTATGTCAGCATTGATGCTTGCTATGAGAATACTACTACGAATGAACGTCAGTATTTATAATATAGTACAACTTTACCGCCATGACAGGTCTCTCGAATTGCGACGGTCGGCCGAGTTCCCGTAGTAATGGACTTGTTTGTCCCCAGCTACAAAATGCATGTATCATAGTTGATAGTTTACCCGAAGGATCTGTTGGCTTGCCTGAACTAGCCTATAATGTGCCTAGACCAATAGAAAAAAATGAAGGTTGTTGTTTTGTACGTGTGCAGTATCATCCGCTATTGGATGCTTCTCAACTAGTCCCACCCACGACGTCCTCGGTGCGTGTAACATTTGGACGAGATTCAAACCACACGAAAATTAGCCTTCCAATGTATTAGGACGAAAAATACAACTTGAAAACTGCGACCGAAAGTGGAAGTGGCATTCACGACAATGTCTCCTAAGTAAAAATTTAGCATTAAAGTTGGATCGTGACTTGAAGTTATCGTCGCTATCTAATATGTGGCACTAATATTGGATGAGAATAAATTAGGCACTGAAGTCCTTCTTAAGTCGTACAGGCAAGGCATTGTGGGCTCCAAAAGACCATGTCTGTCGTAAAAAAAACAATAACAAATCTATGACATAAATGGGTGTGGCTGTTTGATTTCACACGAATCCGGCTATTGGCCATATTTAAAATGATAAACAAGGAAGGAAATTCTTCTTTTTAAGCCTATTTATTACTGACGATATTTAGATTCATTCTGAATAGAAACAATTATAATAATAAGAAGAATATAAATACAATTAGTATGTATACCTAATCGGTTTATGAGAGGCGGGTTTTTTCAAAAACATAGAATGACTCAAAATTCGACGAAGCCTCAGACCCGCTGGTTATGGGGAACGTATATATACATTTTAGATTTTTATACGAGGCATCATAGCTTTATTGCGTAACGGATCATAGAGTGACTTTGGAAATGGCCGACAGGACAAAGCGTAATCGTGTTCGACCAGGTTTACCTAATGGAGTTTACATCTTCAGCCGTAACCTGCGTTGTTATAGGGCACTCGGATAGCAACTCAGTATAAACTTTCAAATCGGGCTCAAATAGATGAGATATACTTACTGACAGAGGAAGTTCTTTAAATCATCTAATTAACAATATTTATTATTTTATACTTTATATGTTCAACTTGTGTAACAAGCAAACAAACACATAAATATAATTTTAGATAATAATTAAGTTTTTGTAATAAGCTTTACACATCCCCGCCGAAGCGCCGACTCCATGCGATCATTACCTCTTCCGATGGCATAAAAACAATGTATTAAGTATAGCTTAGCTTATTGATTAAGCAAACAGATGAATTCGAACGACGCTTTTCGCTACCCGTTCAACTAAGTTCCAATAATCAAGTTCCCCTATGTGGGGTAATAGGGGGGCGAAAACCCCAATAAATTGGCACGTGCATACATCATTAATAAGACAAACCATGACTAATATATATATATATATATACCACTATCGTTGAATACTATATCCAATATATATAATATGATAGAAAACTGCTTTGTTTGGTAGCACATTGTTCCTGTAGCTCAGTTCAGGACAAATCTGGACTTTCGGCTATGGATGTATCGAAAAGATCATTCGAGAAATAATACACCTGTGTATGTATGTGTGGGCACGTGCGTGTGGGTGTATGTATGTGGTATTTTCTGTCTTTAACGGTTCGATCAGCCATTGCCTGATCAGAATGATTAATAGAAGTGCCCGGTTGAATAATGTCCAAAGAGTGCATCCGCGGTAACGCGTTGAGTAATCACCACATCGAAGTATTTTCGACATTTTCTTCATTTAGGATCAGTACGAGATCTTCGATTCAGAGCAGGTAAACACCACGATATGGATGATTATATAGTACAATCAAAATGGTCCCCTCAGAGACCGTTAAAGGTCGTCGAAGTGCAACTTCGAAAAGGTCAACTAAGCGGATACTTTCCGAAAAGCAGCGAGGCTGAAACTTACTTAAGATAGTGCGGCCAGTCGTCTAACATGTTAGTTTATAGAGCTGGCCAAACACCTGTCAATAAAATGGCGTTCCTTTTCTTCGAAATATATATTCTTATTCATGATGAATATACGTTCTACACAGAGGTAAAGTCGAAGTGGACCGTAGAAGGCATAAGGCAAGTTTTATATTAAAATTAACAATTATTTTCGCATTTGAATTGATTTTGCAGAAACGTGTGGCAGCCAAAGGTCGTATCATAAATTAAACGCCTACTACTATATAATTTGAAGGAGACTCATCGACCGTTTACACTGGGAAATCTCGATAGTTTTGGCATCGAAATCACCTTCTACGTAATTATAGCTTGTCAATTTTCACTCACTATTAATTTGTGTGCAGAATTAAGATAGATTGATATCTTCGACATGCAGACTAGGGCCAAATACGATGGGGTATGGTCTTAAGACGCAGCTAATAAGACAGCGTCTTCAAATGTTAAAATGAAACTCAGGATTCGGTCAATTCCAATTTTGGCAGGGCAACAGATCTGCGCCACTCATGTCTACGCCAGTCAAGTTACTGATAGACAAACCTGATTCAGAATAACCCTCTCAAGTCTGCGGATGATTCAGTTGAATCTAAAAGCAGACCTGCTCTCATCAGACGTAATTCTTCTTGTCAGAGAACCTGCATATTCAATAAGTATTATAGAATAAAACTTTCAAATACTTGATTCAATCTGTTATTGTGCTGATTTGATTAATAATCAGCCACACAACAGTGCAGGGGTCGATAAATTTAGACCAATGCCAGACCTGTGCAATGTACACGAAACCGCTTGTCATTCATACGAGACATTATACTGCACTTACTGCGTATCGGAGCTCGAACAGGCAAACTGCCACCCCAGAGCCGAGGGTTCACCTTTAAATCATTGACTCATATACAAGTGCTATTTGACTTATATAGAAACAAGCAACACCACAACTATTTATCACCACGTTTAGTTTTTTTTACCACATTTATTTTATTGATATTTACTTACCTTTTTCTTTTTTGTATTTAGTCATCTACGCACACTACGGGCTATCTAGTAACAGCTTGTAACACTTACCTCCATCCAATTGAAAGCAAGCTCAGACTTCCTAGATCGAGTAACCGTTGACGTTGCTTTATTACTTTATTATCATACAGTTGTTTTCACTTCACGATTACAGTTATGCCGTTATTCTGTTCCACTTGATTCGTTTACTTTGATATGTTATTACGCTGCACCGTTTTACTATTTCAATTATCCTGTTTCTGAGTAATAATTAGCTCACTTTTCTGGATCAGTTGCTTACAATGCAATTCAGCCGTCATAACCGTCATATCGTTGCATGGCTGAAGTTGGTCTAGACTGCAACTGATCTTCACTTTTAGACCGTAATTATCGAAATTTCATGTTGACCTACTACGTAGAACTCGAAAATTGTATAATCATACTTTTTTTTAGAGTTAATTTAAAAAAATCGTTAGACAAAACTGAAGACAAGCAGACGCGCTTCCTCGTTTATCTCCAGTGCCAAAACTGCATTTATTTAAATTTCCGTCGCTTCGTCAGTTGGGCAATCTTTGTTCTCCTTATGGAGAGGCATCCTTAAACGTCTGGCTGTGCGTGCGTGTGTGTGTGTGTGTTCGTATGCATGTATGTATGTGTATTTATTTTCACGTATACTTTTTGCTTTTTCATCTCTTATTGTCAGTATTATCATTATTTCCGTTAGCATTACCACTTTGTCCTACGCAAAGTTGCAGGTTTCCTACTAAATTTTTATTTTTGACTTAGATGTATCCTTGGCACACATCGGACAGCCGTGCTATGCTATCGTTTTCTATCGTTGTTTTCCTTCCTTTTTTCGGCAATTTCCTTGTCTCGTCAGTTATCAGACTATCATCACTGTATTTATTTACTTCGTGGTGTTTGCCTTGTGCAGCGTTGTCACTTGTTGTATCCCAACTAGTTTTCTGATACATCATAGTAGTACATACTTTCTTTCGATCTCTTTGATCCTTGACTAGGCGGCCATTTTCCGATCGCGATAACGGTTGTTGTTGTTGTTTGTTTGTCGTATATTGTTTGTTTGCTCGTTGTTTGTTTGCTCGTTGTCTGTTTGTTTGTTTATTTGTCGTCTGCTTGTTTGTTTGCTTGTTGTTGTTTCGATTATTACGAATATTGTTATAGTCTGTGAGATTATTATTAATATTTTCAGTATTATTTTTTCACTTTATCTTGTCTCAATTAACGTATTTGCTCTTAGTGATTTTTGTTTTATTCTCATGTTTTTATAATCGCCCTCATTATCATTTTTATCATGTAATAATGATAATAATAATTGTTATTTTATTTAGCAGTATCATTATTATTATATACACAGAGTAATATACAATAGGCTCCCCAGCTTTAAGCCACAATGGCGACGCGACTTTACGAAACATTACGCGGTCCTCACTTTCTCCAGTTTTGCTCGGGGTCTTCCCTCGATTTGCGGAGTGCCGAGCAGACTAGCATCAGCCAGTATTTGCTGTAGACTTTTCCCGACTCTCTGACCTTCTCCTTCTTCGGAGAATTGACAAATCAATTAAATTGTCACTTCCAATATAACTTTTTGATTGAACCATGATTTCATATGTGCTGGTACTTGCTAAATTCAGTAGTTTTTTTTCGTTTTTTTCTGAAGCACTGTTAAAGTTCTAGGTTAATCATCAAATTCGAACATACGTAGCGTTTCATTTAGGCCCAACGTGCAGTAGCATGCGCATACATCGTCGCAGGTCCTCTGCCGGCTATGCTGATGATGAATGATAATGGATAGTGTCCCCATGCAGAAATGGGTTTCTCTGACAGCTACCAACACTAATAATTAAATGAGCTGGATAATAGTAATAATTTATTTGGGATAAATATATAAGGTACATACAATAATATTCACAGTAATCATAATTATTATTATAGTTCAATAGTATCTATTGCCGGACAAATGAACACTATATATAATCTATATACAGATTCGTATGTATATAGATGTAAATATATGGTAAAAGGTATATGTAGATATTTACAACTTTTATTTGTTTATTATAATCATTATTATTGTTACTATCAAACGGTCAATGGTTTTTCGACATCCGCTTTGGAAGTTCGTGGTCGTCGTGTACATTGCTCTGACGTATTATCGATTCTATCGTCATTTTTCGGTATTATTCACACCGCCTCGCCTAACGGCAAGTTTTTGTCAAGCGTCGTCTGCTTAAAACACCATTCTGATCCAATGCGCGTCGCTTTCATGTGACAGAACTAACGACAACAATGGTGGTGTTGTCTTAGTTGAACAAAAAAACTGCGTTGTATTAGAATAATAATAATATGGCAGAAAAGACAAAAAAAAAATGAGATTTAAAGTACGACCGAGTCAATTAACGCCTCATTGTTGCTGCCGTCGTGATATTAATATGGGTATTGGCATACTAGTGAAGGTCAGGATATACATATTTGCCTAGAACGCTGACCTGGTTACTAGGCACGGTGGGCAATCATTGATCTTCTTCCGGGAAATCTTCTCTATGTAACCCGAAAGTGATTTCCGATAGAATTCGTACACCGAAGAGTGAGTGCAGTGAACGCAAAAAAGGCTAGAGTTATTGAATACATAACAGAACTTTAACTACAACTATGCTTCATAAATGTATTTTAGCTATCACAGGCTAATAATTTAAATCTCTCTTTTGCGTTCTGAATCTCTGTTTAGGAGTTTTTTTTTTTACGAAATTCACGATAGTTCATGATTTGAACATGGGGTTAGAAGAACGGCGACAGCAACGACTTCGCCGAATTATTCAGTCTTCTTTATCTAGCATCGTTTCCTATTCGGATCGCCTCTAGGAGATTTTACGTAAAGAGTCAAAGACGTTGCGTGTTTTTTTATCAACTAATTTTTTTACATTGCTTGTTACAGTGGTGTGTCGGCCGAAGGTTAAAACTGGGCATAACTATTTTTAATCAGAAAAAAAAATTTGGAACGACGGCCACATGTTAATCGAAGCGGGACTGTTTCGTCACAAACAGCACGTTATACTTATATACGCATATTAAGGAAGCTTTAATCCTTCGACTTGCTGCGATACTTTCATCTGTGTAGGAAAAACGAGCACAAAGGTACTGAAAGCTTTCTGCAATCCTGCCATTTTTTTTAGTTAGCGTAGTGCAAAAACGCTTTTTTCTTTGGACCAAACATTATTACATGAAGGCTAATAATGCATAATCGCTTAATAAGGATGGTTAGTTATAATTATTTTATTAGCTATTGCATTGACGTTTTTATGGAAAAAATTTTTAAAAAAAAGGTAAAAATCTATATGAAATAATCCAAAGGCCACTTCATGTTTTGGCGTTCGCCTTTTAGGTGTCGCTTCTGCAATACATCTCTATTTCGTTTTTGTTCAGTTATCAACGTAACTGAAACGCAATGCTTGAGACAGGTCGATAAATCATGTAATAAATAAGCCTGTTACACGCTAAGGCTATTATTTCTTACAGAAGAGGTATCCTTAATGTTCATACGGCGTTTGTCATTGTTATCGATCAGTTCTGCCCGTTCTTTTCGTCTTTAATTGCGATCATTTCTATTGAAATTTACCACCTTTTTTTTCGTTTGTAACACTCTATCGCCAGCTCCCGATCTCGTATATCGTTTTCTTTCGTTCCGTCGACATTTTCGTCTTCTTTATAGCCCCTGGACTGGATAGCAGATACTATTCCTATCTTTTTGTTATTGTGTGCGTGGCCTCTCTTTTGACAGCAATAGTACAATATTGGCATCACCGTCATGATCAATTGTCACTCTTTCGTCATTAATATAATTACTTTATGTTTACAGCCACAGTTCGCTTCTGCCTTATATATCTCGCATGCGATCCTTCCTATTTTCCCCTTAGTTTCCATGAACCTATTCAGTCATATTTCTTTTGCTTACACCCACGTGCTTCCGCTGGCTATACGATTTCTACTCTGACTCTTGGACATCTTGTTTCATGGCTTTTGTTAGCAAAAACCTCGTGGACACCTCCACACGCCAGTTCCTATTATCGTCGTTGTCTTTTCGCATGCTCGAAATTTACTTCCTCAATGTCTAAAGGAACTTCCAGCAAACCTTCTGAACAGTATCATTATTATCGTAGCGCCACCTGTTTCTCAAACATTGATTGTTGATTACACTTGCAGCCCGTGCTGCTTTCTGTTACTTTTTTTTTTTTTTTTGTCAATGTAACGCTGCATTCCCTACGATTATCATCGACCTCTCTACTAGTGAGTACATACTGTCATTTTGATACTTCGAATCGACGCCTCGAACCACTTCTATATTTGTTTCTGAGAGAAAACGTTTTTTTGACAGATCCCGGAGATTAGTGCAAACTGTTCCAATTAATCAGAGTGTCTAAATTAACTAGTTAGTTGCTGACCGTAATTTTGTCCTGGTTCGACATGTAGTTCTATAGGTTGTTGAGGGGAGATAGCGATATGTCGATAGTTTACTGTCATCCATCAGGTGATATCTCTTCTTGTCATGGATCTCAGCTGCTAATTGTGATAAATAGATGAATATTGTCACCATATATAATTCGGTCATGAGGTTCGCCTCTCCTGATGTAACTGCATTGACCAGGCCACATCCGTTAGTTACAGTGTTTTCTGACGCCTGATGTACTTAGTCCACCATGGTCGTCATCACCGTAACTTATCGTCTTACGTACCGCACCTAAATTCACCGACCCGACCCGACCCGACCCCCCCCCCCGCCTGTTCTTGCTCTTATATTTTCAGATCTCTATCACGTTTACAACTGTTCGTAGTATCTCTCTTTTGACACTCGTTCAACTATATAATTTCATTCTAGCTGTGGTTCTAGATTTTTTCCTTTTTCCCCTATGTATATATCTCCATGTGGTGACTTCTTCCATAATATTAGTAGCAGTAAATAGTTGTATTGATAATAATAAACGTACTATTTAGAGTATTTTTAGCAATAATGGTTAGTGTTGTCAATAACTGTCATAGCAGCCTTTTTACTAATAGGATTTATCAGTATCACTTATGGAAGCTACAAAGTATCGTGGGTCGGAGTCGTTATATATCAGTTAGTTGCTTGAATTTCTACCGGCGAGTGCTCAGCGATTTATCATGCAGCACACGCATACGCCCATACACGCAGACACAGTAGCAACTGTATAGTACTGCACGCTGTAGCAGTCAATTTTTTAGATGTTGTAAATCAGTCCCTGTATCTAAATGACGTTTGCCCAATTTCGCATCATCACTACCCATTACGTACTGCGTTCTTGGCCCACTTTTAGCACCCTACTTTTTAACCATCTCGTCGAACGTACGTTTGTCAAGCTCTTATGTATTGCGCTCAGAAGATATGGTAGATACAAGTCTTCATCATATTCGCCTTTTGAACAGGTAGCACTGCATTCATACCGGCATCAATCGTTATCCTGCGTCAAACATAATGGCATGGCAGGCATTAAAAACGTTTTGTCAAATCAAGCATTCGCTACAGTCACGTGCTTCTGCTTGGCAGCGTTCGTTTCTTACTTTCCTCTCCGTTTTTTGTTTTTTTTTTGTTTTTTTTTTTTTGTTTTCTTTTTCCTCTTCATGTCCTATCCCGAACTTAAAATTCGCACACGATTACCTCATCGTCGTCGTGTTCGGCATCGGTCTCCATGTTACAGTTCGATTGGTAACACACGTTGTTGACAAGGTAAACTATCTTAATAATGATATTATTAATGATGTCTGTGGTAGTAGTTATAATCTCTACTTAATATGAGTCATATAGGCGCGGCGAACTCGCTGATTGGAACATTGTCTTCGTCGTCAATAGAGACCTTGACTGACTGTCCTCCGTATCACCACTGGCATTGGTGTGGTCTGCCTCCTATATAACAGCTGAGAAAGTAGCAGCATCGGCCTACTCAGATTCGCCGCCAGCTTCAATGTTGTCACTTTTTTTCGTTAGGTAAACTTGCTCACAATCTTTATAATTCACTTCGCTAATTTTTAATTCTATTGCTAACCGACTTCTGCCCGAGTTCTGCCCGCAACGCTGTAGAGTTTCACTGAATAACGAAGTGTGTGAAGGATCACGTCGTTCTGCCTGTTCTTTTATTAGTTATCGCTGCCACTTTTATATTTTTTTTGCATACAAGATCGTGTAGTCTCACTCAATCAATGCTCGTCAATTAGCATCTTCTTATTGTTCCCAGATACTACCTCTGGGACACTGACAGACACACATACACGCACATATATATGTATATATAGACTCTTGTCACAGATAGGATCTCACTGAAATGGACAAAGATCACAAATAACCGTGTTATTTACTATATATGTATTCTTCAATAAATATTGAACACAATAAATAAATACCTGTCCAAGTACAATTATTATTATTGCCATAGTTCTTACTATGTGTGAATTAGATCGTTTGGCCTATATTGAACCGTAAAAATATTTATACCTACTTATCGATCAGTCACACGGTATCTTGATTTAGGGCAAACTTGTTTGCCACGCCATTTCCATCCCTTTCGAAATGCTCCTATTTTTTTTCAATTTTTTATAAAGACTAGATTAGTAAAATCTAGTCTTTATAAAAGAAAAACAACTACACGAACCTTCGAAGAAGTTTCGATCGAAGACTGCATAGATAAGCATTGACAGGACAGAAATACCGGCATGTAGTTGACGCAGGCACTTGTGCTAGTCACTTACCAATGTTTTTATCAAGTTCAGGTGAGAACTAGTCCTCGTGGGCAGGCCGTTAGGGAGAATAGTTTATTATATTGACGTCATCTTGTCACATCGCTTATCTCCTGTTCGCCTCTTCAATGGACTGGGGCTTTTCGTTCTCTTGAATCTCATAACGACAGGTGGGCGGGTGATAAAGCCTTTGTTGCTCACATTCCATACTATGAGAGCTCGTTGTCATAGGACAAAATGGCTTTACTTATTGTTAACAGATCTGGCCAAGGCTTGCCAATCGGAACGAGATTCAAATTGAATGTCGTAACTGTTGCCTTCTTATAATTAATTATTCATTGTTCTATAATGTCCAGACCTGTCTCGTCTAATCATGAGGCATTGGATTCAATATCACCTGTCTGCAAGAATGGATGGCCAAGAATCTCTTCTGCTCTGGGTCTCTCCGAAGGCGTCCTATAAACGTTTGAAAATTAAAAAAAAAGAAAGCAAGCAGCATAAGAAAAAGAACTAGCCTAAAAGGTTTCTAAGAGGAGACATTTTGTTCAGAAAACGCGCACCAAAGCTAAAGACCATAGCATGCTTCTAATAATAAAAAAAATATTTTCGATGATTTTCAATATGGTGATATATCCTGTTTTTGTATTGTTTTTTTGTTTTTTTTTTTATTTTACTCTAAATCGTAAATGATCTAGCGAGAAAATATCTTCGTTCTAATCTCGCTTGATGCACACAAATTGATGTGGTCTGGCGTCACAAAGATGCTTGTTGTTGTGAATGTCTCGAAGATTCACTTCCGTGACTCCTGGGCCTCGAATGGTCGTCAGACTATTATTGATACGTATGTCCACGAACACAATCAAATTAACGCTATACCTGTTTAGACATTTGAGGACGATGTCTCTGGCGTTTTGAGTAAGGTGTTCGGGAAACTTTGGTTCAGATGTTCCTTGCCCGATGGCAAAAGCTGCCGCGAGAGGTGAAAGTTCATACCACGGGGGCTTTGTCTGGAACATCTCGATAAGTGTACATCCGATTGACCACATGTCGGATTTATGACTGCATTCTTGTTGACAAATTACCTCAGGAGCCATCCAGTAGGGCGTTCCGCGGGCTGATGCTGCTAAACGCTCGTGATCCGTGCCCTATTTAATATAAGGAAAAACCCTCAAGCTTATACGGGGCGACGAAAGATACATTCTCCAAAATCGTTCAACGTATTGTATATAATGTTTACGGTCACTGCTTGCATACTTCACAACGCTGTGTTGTTTTGATATTAGAGATTATAAAAGATTTAGAAGAAAAATCGGATGTAAATGTTCACCTACCGAGGGATCAAATGTTGCACAGCCAAAATCGATGATTTTAATCGTGCCCGTGCCCGGACAGACCATCACATTGTTACCCTTTATATCTCTGTGGATAACACTGCGCGAATGCAGATATGCAGCAGCCTGGAAAAGCTGACGCGCATAGCGCTGAACTACGCTTTCGGGGAATGCACCAAACTGGGCAAGATTCGATGCGAGCGTCCCCCCTGAGACAAACTCTAGAAATAGGTTAATGCTCGCACCATCTTGCTGTACCCCTAGGAAGCCGACAATATTCATATGCTTTAAACTCTGCAGAATGTCAACCTCGAGTTGCACGGCAGAGAGCACTTCGTCTGTATGCTCTTGTTCCTGTATCTGGAATTGTTTCACTGCAACCAACTGGCCGGTACCGTTCATACCGCACCAAACGAGACCAAACGCTCCTTTACCAATTAGCTTGCCCTTAACCCATGGGAAAGGCGGATCGGATGAGAATGCAGGAATTTCGGGGAATGATTTTGGTGTGGCGGGCGCCACCTTTGGGTCTGAGTGAATTCCTTGTGGAAGCGGCGTCTTCGTGCTAGGCCGGAGACTACCCCCCATAACTGGTCGTGTATTTAGTGCCGTCGAACCTTTAGCTCGACGGGCGTTGCTCATTGTCTGCGGGGCATCGATGACCTTGACGTTTGGAGGGATTTGGGAAGCCAGATTTGATGTCGAATCCCTAGTGGGGTTAGCGTACATAGCCCCGCCGCAGTACGTGCCGTCCTTAGGTAAGGCATCCCTGCTTAGAGCTGGCGGCGGCCCCACAGGGTTCTTGGGCGGCTTCCTAGCGTCCCTCCGAGTTAACGAGAGGCTGCTCCTTGCCGGCAACTGTGGTACGACGATATTATCGCTCGACCCGTTTGAACTCAAGGTGCCCGTCCCTCCACCAGCATTTAATGTGCCATGGTTCATTCCAAGCGGAGGTTGTGGAGATGGTGAAGCCCCGTCGTCGTCGTCACTAAAGCCAACGTCCCCCGTCTCACCCGGACTCACCTGGGGAAGATATACCTGCACCCGAAGATTAAACAAATATCAGGCCATATAATGAGCATAATTCATCTCTTTTCTATTGATCTATTCTACTGACAAATTCGGTACATTATAATAGAGGATTGACACCATTGTAGATACTACATGTTTATACCTTCGTATCCTATCTATACCACGCCATAAATTATTTTTTCTCACTTAACAGAACAGAGAGACTGAAAATTTGTATTTTCTCTGTACAAAGTTGGTTCCTTCACAACATACCCAACTGGCGGAAGACAAATGACTAGCTCTATTGGCCCAGGGTGGCAAGAACTTAGAGAGTAACGCGCCCTTGGCCGCAGACGCTGCGGCGGCAGTAGGTTTGAGGATGGATAACTTAAGGGGCTGTTGCAAAGGTTGCGGTCGTTGGGGTCGCACAATGGCTGCCCGCTCCTCTGGCTTCGTATATAGCGAATCGTTATCGCTTTCCGCGCCTCCGCCGCCTCCGCTTAGTCCTCCTGATGAAGTTATACCACCCATCGTTTGCGAACTGGCCGGAAACTTATAATAATAATGACTGTTCGTATCGATCTGTGACTGTCGTCCTGATGTTAAACCTGCAATAGGGATGTGTAGATGTGGAAAATACACATTAATGCATACATTTTTGTATTCTTGTAGAAAGCTATTTTTTTTGCCTCTTTTTTTTCAATGCTTGTATATTCTAATAGTTACATCAATGAGATATTCTGTTAATAGCTTTTTAATATTAATGCTATAAGTATACGCTTACACTACTAAAATTAATGCAATATTGATTTATTGCAACAGCATGTGGGTCTGAATATCTGTACACTCACTCTCAGCGGTCTCCCGATCGAGCTTCATCCTAGATAGGTGAGGTGACGGTTTCTTCACTTTCGGCCGCGAAACTGAACTGAACCTCGGCGGAAGTTCTGGCTGCACTTCGCTGCCATTGGCCTTTTTAGCAGCAACCGAGTAGCAGGGCCCGTCGGGGCCCTCATCGTCGACCAATGGGTTGTCCTGAATACTGAGGTGAGCCACCTCTGGCGATGGATCGAGCACAGAATTGGACGGCATCGTCGTCTGATGGTGGTATGCCGCCGAAGGGTCAAGTGTGGCTGCCGAACTCTTCTCTTCCCATTCCGATTCGTCAAGAATCTTCTGTACCTGATTCATCAGCTGAATATCATCTTCGACAAGGCGCCGACGTAAATCGTCGGGCGCCACCTCGTGCATGTCGTAACGCTGATCGCCTGAGGCGCCTTCTGGCTCGGACAGCGGCTGAGGACTCTCGGTGCCTGAGCTATCTTCATCTTCCTCCGACTGATTCGCTAACATTGATGGCCCACTCTGCTGCAGAATAAGCTGGGCGAGCTTTTTCTTTTCTGATCTGAGTGTCGAGTTCGTCGGTGACGCCAAACGAGCCTCCACGGCACCTCGAAGGATGTTGTACACCTAAAATAATTTGTAGTTCACACACATGTTGTTGTGTTGAATAGGGTTCGAAAAAGGATAAAGTAAAAATCTTTTTTATTTTATAATTATTAACTATTGTGTAGTCTTAATGTTTAATTTTTTAGCTTAACGTAATATAACAAGGAGACATATGCTCAAGAATAATTAATACTATTCAACTCACGCCATAAATTATTTGCCATAAAATATAATTGCACAAGTTAGGAAAGCTTCTTTGAAATTATGCTTAAGTTCTCTCGATGTCGAAAACATCTGACCCTTTTTAGCCTATCAAAGCGATGATAGCTCACATGATTTTAGTCAATTAGAGGACAAAGGAAAATATACGCGCTGGTTCTCTTTGTACAACAAAAGACAAAATTTCTATCTTTCAAGTTTAATGGTACCACTAACGTTTCTTCAATGTAACATGTTGATAAGCTGCTCAAGATCCAAGCAAGGCTCGATCCGATAACAAATCGAATCAGTCACCTGCTTTTAGTGAACCTGCTAAAAGATTCCTGTCGTCACCATGTTTAAGGTCTACTGATAGCTTGTCTTATCAAAAAACGAGGCTCAAATAATAGCTGATTAAATACTAGTTGACTAAACTTTAGCCGATTCGATTTATTAGATAAGGTCATAATCGTTTTGTCCTTGTCCTTGCCATATCTTATCATCGCTGGTTGCTCGGGCATCAAATGTAATTGTTCAAGACGTGTAAGTACTATTCGTATCTCTCCAGGGGTCAACAGTCACCGGCCATTACTCTTTTTGCTGGTTGCGTGACGACGTGGAATTTTACATTTGACATTGATAGTAGCCATTTTCTATAAAGGGGCTTCTTCCGAGACTCATTTTTTATTCTATCCTTCGCACATACGGAGGAAGCAGCTCTCGTAAGCAGGCAACAGCAGAGCGCTCGGTGTCCGAAACTCGTGAAGTGTGATAGATTCTGCTGCTCTTTGTTTTCGACTTTGGCGAACCAGAACGGATATCGTTGCGCTTAGTAGCAAGCAGCGGCAACTCTCATGAAAAGCGTCGTTTGTTCTTCTTCGTTGGGAGACGACACGTACGGAAACACAGACAAAGCACTATTCAATAACAAATTGAGTTGGCTCCCAACTGTAAATGCCCAGCAAAACAGAGAGCTTCGGTGCTACTCGGTCCGCCTGTCAAGTGGCCAGCCGTGTAAAACCAACGATCGCGTACACTATTATGCCGCCTTCCGTCGACTTTCCCACCCATCTTGCGTAGTCGTCAGTGAAGAAAGACTCTGTCATTTGCACAACTGATTGGTTAGCGTGCAGAATTGGGTCGCTAGCCCAGCCAAATATTGCCATCGATCTACTACTAGGCGAAAAAGGTAAATCAGGTTCTGTTTTTCTAATGCACACGTGTTTATGTCAACACAACGCTCAACAACCCGTACCTATTCTAGCGATGAGTTGTTTTAATTAATCAGCGCGCACATTTATAGAGAAATCTGAGAAAAACTTGAAGCTGCTTATTGACACATTCTAGAGTCTGACATAAAGTTGTTATTCAAAACTTAGCCCCATTATAGCGAGGTAGTGAAAGTAATTGAAACGTCCAAGCTGAGTTGTTTTACAGTCTTAACTACGTTTTTACGAACAGCCTTAGAGAAACACAGCCATTTAAGTCATAGAGTTTCGAAAAAATCATAATTACTTCACCCTGTTGTCATCATGATTATAAATATTACTTGAGAGGTCAATGTAACTAATGGGACAAGCTTGGCCTCTTACCCGGCATTCGAACGAACCACGGCTGATGTCGTACATAGATCGAGTAGACTATCGAGTAGATCAGCACAGAGAAACAGATTTCACTATCGGATGAACAGACACGGTCAGTGTCAATGCATTTGTTATTATGCACGTTAAACAGATAAAGAATAAGCGGCTGATTTACCTCCTGATTGGCAGCGCAGCATAGGGGACTTTTACCATCTGAGGCAAAAGTTAGCACGTCAGCCCTTCGCTCCAGCAAAAGGATCACTGCGTCTGTATTACCTATACAATGAAAATATTGAATCGTAAATTTTTCTAAATTACGCTGCCTTATGATACCACATAGGTCTGCTGTTGTCCTTTCCAAACGATTATGTTAAGTTAATATAATTAACGTTAAATACCATTATTTACTGTTCTCATAGGTAGAGTTCTTATAATTGTAAAGCAACTGTAGCTATGACTGTACTTATGGGCGTTATAGCTCAATTAAGTCTGGCCTCGACAGAATGCCTTTCTTTCTCTAGTCAGAACAACCTACCTGCAGAGGCGGCTAGATGCAGAGGAGTTATTCCTCCAAGTCCAGGCGCCGACGGGTCCGCGCCGGCGTCCAGAAGAAGTCGTAGCGCTTCTACTGAACCCGCCTGCGATGCGAAGTGCAGGGGGCAGAATCCATGCTTGTCCTTCATATCTAGAGTGAGAACGGTAAAAAACAACGAATATGTCTTTTATTTAAGAACAATTCCCACTACGTCAATTTATCTCCTAAGCGCAATGCATCGCGTAGAAGATCATTTTCATTGGAAGAGTTAACGGCTTAAGCTTTGTCTGTATAAGCGGCCTCGGCCACTGTGACCGAAATATCCTTCAATACTGTAAGTAATCGTTTCACAGCCATTTTTATCGTTATTCCGTTATGCCTCATGTCTGCAAGTAAAAGCTTCCACTTGGTTGACCTGATGTTTCACATATTTGGGCTTTTTGCGCAGATACCATTTCAATGTACTTCTGAATGTTTTTCTCAAAATTCACAGCCACTAGAAAGTTTCGGCACGTTTTATTTAATCCATGTTGTTGGCAATCGCCATCTGTTTCGAGCCGCAACTGTGTTCTTATCACTAACTTCACCATCAGTACGGGTAGCGTTTTTAGCAGAAGTTGGCCTAATACGAATCATTAACTTACTATTACTACTAATCATAACGGAAGTTTGTTGTATTATATTCAGGCCGCGCATCTCGACCACCGTCACTCGATATTTCTCTACAGCTCAACAGGCCCAGCGGAAATCGCCCGTGATGCTGGCGGCGGCAGCGGCAGGACGTTGTTATGACGGCGCACATCCCGTCTTCTACCGGTAGCTCAAAGTCAACTGACCGATGCGTCCACATTTCAAACGGAGTACAAGCGCCAAAGTCATTACACTCTCTTATCATTCAGCCCCGTGGCGTACAATGACGAAGACATCATTGCTGCTACGGACGTGTAGCTGTAGATCTGCGATCTGCCGTTCACCCCCTATTCCGAGCCGGCAGGGAGCGCGGACGAAAAGTTCTTATAGTTTGTTACTGCCTTTTTTGGAACGTGTGGGACGTTGAGGGCCAAGCAGAAAGGAAGAGCAGAAAAGTGAGGCGGCGAAAAAAAGCGCAAATATGAAACAGAATCTCGGCCAATTGCAAACATCTTGCTTCAATGTGTGAATGTACAAAGAATCTGGTGACACTGTTCTATGCGTCTAAGCAATAACCCTGTCACAATTCGACAGTGATGGTCAGCACAACGTGGCCGGTAAATATGGCCAATGCAATATCATGTCGTGATAAATTGTTCCTGATCCCGCATCGACAATGCTTGACTTCCCACCGCTAAGCCCTAAAGCTTAGACACGAGTAAACAAAAGAGACGACAGTTGGTAATATATATCTACCTGTGGACTCGATGAAATGTTGTAGCCTTTTTGTTATCCTGCTTTATTTAGAAACGAATATTTACGAGATTCTCTCGTTCATTATGCATCGACCACTTGGTCATAAATTACTGCTTCCCAACAACAGCATCAGCCCTGAATGCTCAGTTCGAATAAAGGCTTTAGTTCCAAAAATGAGTTACCTGAATAGTAAGTGAGCACTATTCAAGTTATTAACTTGTTTTAGCCCTCAAATGATTTATTCAACTGCTTCGCTACAGCCCCTACCCGAAGTCTAGTGTAGGCCCCATTTATAGACAACGCTGTGGACCTTTCCTCTTCCGTAGTCCATAGGAGAATATTAAAGATGAACATTCTTAAACACTACTGCGAGCATTCAGGCTCAAAGAGGCCAACAATCTGCTAAACAATAGTCTGCAATCAAGCTGATGACAAAACAGGCAGCTAGCTATTCATGATCTAATGTTCGCATGCTTCTCTGTATCCGTACGAAAATTGCAACTAATAAAATTATGTTTATTAATGTTATTAGAACAAGTTATTGGAGTTTACGTTATCTTCTGAATCATATTAGATAGCATTAGAGATCCATAGTACAATGAATGGTAACTTAAATTTCGATGATCTCTTCATTAATAATGTCTCTGTCTCAGGTAAAATAATCAGTCGAATTCAGTTAGATAAGAAGTACGCAGATAGATTTGTTAGTTATCTAGATCACTGATAAGTCTGCACAGAAACATTTGACACGAACCGGTTCACGCATAGAAATATACCTAATAACTTTATCCTATTCCTCTACATCTAAGCTTGAAAAATGAATCATACGAAACTTTGGAGTTTGACCCCAGTTCAAGACGGCATCAGCATCCTAGCTCATATCAAACAGTGTCTATTGAAAACAAGTTTTGTGCTACCCAAGACCTGCATTCGCATATGCCGGAGACCTGTAAGCAAATGGCTGATTTATCGTACGCTGGTTTGATCGAATATTAAAGGGGGCAAAAGCCGCAGTGGCAGAAAAATACCCTAACTAGGACAATAACTAACTGTTCGTATATATCGTATGTTCACAGAAGAGATTCGGTAGAAACTCTGTGTATATGTAGAAACAAAATACCTTTGCTTGAGGTAAGCAAAACCTGTAGAACTTGTCTTTGTCACATTACACACGTACGACATCATGTACTGCGAAACGAGTATGATATGAGGTGATAGTTTGCATAGAGTAAATTGACTACTTTAAATCTGTTCTACTGCCAAGCTCATGAATCTATGTCTACTTTGGCGAAATATAAAAAATAACATGGCTTCATAATTACGAGATGCTCAGAAGTGATTGCCACATGTGATCTGTGTACGACCCTTCGAAGTTCAACATCAACAAGCTAGTCGGCCGCTTATAGCGTTTAATATAGAGAAGATGGGCTATTGATCCATTAAAAAAAAAAACAAAAAACGCTAACATTTACTTGCTTCGTTTTCTTAAAATCGGTTTTCGAATTTTGACTTTGTTCGTCCATGTATTTGACACCTAATTTTGGCCGAATTGATAACCTGATCCCGGTCACGAACGATGATAGCTATGGCATACTGAATCAATAAGAACAGTGTTATAGCCCTATACAAGCGCGGCGTCACTTAGCGACAAGGACAGGTAGCCTGAGACAGGAATATATAGTGTTTAACTGTTGATAATTAATAAAGTATATTGCACTTCTTGAATGGTCTATGTGGGGGGGGGGGGGGTGCGCCGATCATCACTAACCGACTCTAGCGCCATGGTGAAGCAGGAGCGCAATCACAGGCGCAGTATGTTCACATCGAGTATGCGCGGCATAATGTAAACAACTGCGTCCCTGTCGATCTTGGTGATTGACATCGCGATGGATAAGCCTATGAAAAAACGAAAATAATTATAATAATTAGATACCGTGGCATTCATTTTTGCCGAAATATAAAACAAATTAGTAATCTATTTGTTACGAGTGCACATGGTTGAAATGGCGAACATCTTAGTAGAAGATTCGTTTTCTTTTTCCTTCTGGCGGATACAAATTACGGTCTATTTTAATCGATTTCAAAAAGCTATCAGCGAATATACGTATGTACGGTCTAATGAATTCAGGACATACTGGACATACAGTTTTACTATACGACATTTTGTGTGCTTTTGATAACAAATTGAATGATTGCCAGTGAAATTTAATCTCTGATCTTCAAATATGGTGAGATTTGAAGACCCTATGGACCAGAAAAGCATATCGAATTTCTTCGGAGGAATAACGATTACAGTGAATTTTAGGACAGCAAAAAGGTGAGTTCAACCAAAAAAGCGGTCCTGTTTTTCTCTATTTTCACATTATATCTAATCGAATAAAAAGATATAGAGGAATCCCCCCTTAAGGACGCTGCATACGATCCGCACGTACCACCGAAGGAATGTTTCAATGGAGATAGGACCTCCTCATCAACATCGACGCAGGCTTTCGTCTAAAAACTTCAAGCGCGCACCACTTGCTTAAGGTCGAAACGGAGCTGAATGACTTGCTTTTGGGAGTTCGAGAAATGTACTTCACTTAGTAGGAGCCATAAAGCTGTCTGTTGTTGCTCTACGTAGATATGGAAACAGGACAGAAGAGATGGGGTAGGCCAGGTGGAAGGGAACTCAACCTATCAAAAATCGGGTTCTCGGTGTATCTCCTAAGCGACGTTAGTGGACTCGCAGCCAACCAGGCAACCAACTAATCTAACGGGTAGCAGAATTTTCCATTTTTCAGAACACAAAACAGGACGACTGTCTTCCGTTTGTTTCAATAGCACGAAGGATTCCCGGCGAGTCACGAGCGTTGACAGAACAGTACGGTATCAACAATTCCTCTTAACTTCATCGAGTGTATTGATATATCGACGTTTAACGATACTCGTGATTACGAATAGTGAAATAGATTGAATAGGTTACAACATTATTCACCCCCGTCATTGTGTTTATCAGAACAATATCCAGTCACTGTATTACTCACACTCCGTGGTCGAGGAGAATCTGTATCACCGCTAGGGGATCGTACCCGTCGATCACCTGATTGGCGTGCAGCTCCGTAAAGGTGCCCAGGTCTCTGCACAACAACGTCAATGGCGTTGAGCCTTCGGCGTTTGTGCAGTTAACGTCGACACTTGTCGTTGTCTAACGATTATAAAACATTGTGAAAAAGCATTAGAACAAAGAAATACGGTAAAATTCATACGATAAAAATACAAAATAAATGCGTTTCGATAGGCAAACTATCAATACAATAAACGTGAAGGTCGAACCGTAATGTTACTATGTCATTTGTTCAGCCAATCATATCAAGCAAAGGCAATGCTCTGTCATTTGAAAAAATCTAGATCTAATATTGTTAGATCATCGGAGTTATTGTCTTTTCATAGTAATTTCAAGTAGTTACCAGTAGTCGTAAGACATGTTCTTTGGCCCCGCTCCACGCTGCAAGCAAGAGGCGCTTTTCGTCACTTTTAACACCAGCACAGTCGACAATGTCCGGTGATCGAAGCACATATTGGACCAGCGAAGGCGTCAACGAGTCGAGACAGTTTTGCCCGGTATAATTATGAAGTGTAGGATCTGCCCCTGCTTCGAGAAGAGCCGCTATTGCCTAATCACACAGAGGGGTTGTAAAATGGATGCGTTTAATGATGCAACAAACAGGGAATGGGTCGGTATTAAGTTGAGCCACATTGTTCTGAAAGTTCAATAAATATGACATATCTAAGAGTTGCATTTAAGCACGACCGCCGTTTCCCTTGAACAGACTTCGAAACTAAACACTTGTATACAAAGCTTTTTTGGAATATAAAGGAGCATTTGACAGGTCATAATGGCCAAATGTTGAACACCTGATACCCTGCTTATTTTATCTACGTTCATGTGCCAAATTTCGAGTGTGATACTGAATGTATAATATGTCGCCGTTTTCTAGTTTAAGAGCGTACGGTAAATTTCGGTAAGTTAAGTGTTTTTACAAATAGTTCTGTGACGGTAAAGAGCGACGGCTTCCGCAGAATACAGATCCCATTCGTTCGTTTATATATATATATATATACATCTGTAAACAGGATCATCGTTATGAAAAACAACAAAGATATCAGGCCAACAAAGGTTCTGGGTGATGGAAAGATAAATAAGCTATAACGAAATGTATGAAAGTTTTGCTTTACTTAAAATAAACGTATCATACAACTTTTGGGCTCCTGTGTCTTACTAGCTGGTACGCCTCTGCAGATTTCTACTAAGTAAAAAACCATTGTCGTTAGGCGTCAAATGCAAACTATCGGCGAACATTTCGTAAATCCGTTCATAAATTGGTCAAATCGTTCTAACCTGATCTGCACCGTTAATAACACTCAACTCCTACCGGATTTGGATTGAAAAGTACTCAGATAGAACATAAAACAAAAGCAGGCAATATAAGAGACTTAATGATGTTCTGCGTGGTATCTATAACGCTCGCTTATTCTTATTCTTTACGACGGAACACAAGTCCCAAGGTTGGACCAAGTCTTACTAAGATAGAAGCGATTGAAATAAAAAAATCATGACGGTCCTTCTTTCGAAAGCCTGGATACAGCCCAAGCCCAGTTACAATAACATCATTATATCACAAAGGAGACATATGGACTTGTTCAATTGTTCGGTAACTTTGTATTTCTTTAACCCCATCTATACTGACTTCAATATAATTTTATCTTAAAAAATATAGCCCATATTGGACGATGAACATATACTGTAACATCAACTAGTGTTCAGTCTTCCGAAATGACTTTGCATTCTTTTTTCTATGCTTGCAACCAATATTTAAAAGTCGCTCGAACCCCTGATACTCCAGAGGATAATGCCAAATAAAAAAATAATGCTAGTACTGTATTTTCTCTTAACACGATTTTCCTAAAAATTAAAATTTGACTAATTCTACAAAAAATGATAAAAGCAAGTTGAAACAATTTTGCATGCACTATGCAAAATAGCACGACAAAGTAAGTAAACGGGTAATGATCTTAGTAGTTTTACTGTTTTTGCTCAAGAAATGTTAGCGAAGATGCAACTGATAAGTCACTCAGTTATCTAATTTGATATTTCTCGATCTTAGCTACATCTTTGTATCGAAAGGCCAGGACTACTTTCTAGGCCATTAGAAACGTAGAACATATGATTTTTTCAAGTTCCTCTGCAAGTGGCCGACGAGAAAGAAGATAAGCGACCAACATCTCATTAATTATTAATAAATACATAATTGGTTTCACTGGTTTTTACTCACATCGGCGTCTTGCACGAGGCTAGCGACCATGAGAGCTGTATTGCCAGTCTGAGCATCGCGAGCATTCACGTTCACCCCGTGCTTCTGGAGCAACCTGCGAAGCTTCTTCACTCCGCCATCACGAGCTGCAGCCACAAGCCGGTGATCTCCGTGCGAGATGCGCGGCCCTGGCAATGGGTGACCCCTTGGTTGAGCACCGGATCCCGCCCCGGAAGTGCCGCCATGCGTCCCTGACGTCTCCGCTTGCATCATGCCTGCCATTATTAATACTGTTATTAAACAAAATGACTGCACTTCAAGACCAACAGCGTCAGGGTTCTGCTAGTATAGGCAGACGAAGTTCTCCGGGGGGCAGTAAGAGCTGAAGTAGTCGTCGTCGTGGTCGTTGTCGTCGTCGTCGTTGTCGTCGTCGTCGTCGTCGTTGTCGTCGTCGTCGTTGTCGTTGTCGTTGTTGTCGTCGTCGTCGGCGTCGTCGTTGTTGTCGTCGTCGTCGTCGTCGTCGTTGTCTTCGCAGATATGGAGAACGTAGCGGTAGCTGAACGCAAGGTCTATATATTTGTGTGCATCACTGGTGGGTGATCGACCCGGGGACGTGTAGGGCACGGCGCGTGCGTGCCCCACCGCCGATGCCTAGCACCGTCGCGTCATATCCTTACCGTAATCGTCGTCACCATTGTCATAATCATGATCATCATCACGAATAGACCTTTATTATCACGACCATCTGTAACAGACAAGAAGACCATAGAAGACAAATGAGTTACAATAGAACACACATTTATGTTAGTATTGACGCACTCGCGAAAAGACGGCAGCTTATTATTGTTGGCGCTCTTTGAGGTAACCTTACCCACCGTATTGTTTCAGAATATAACTACTAATTTGCATATTACGCTGCTATTAAGAGCATGAAACGGCGAACTAGCGTTTTGCTGGGTTGCGTAACTAGTCCAACACTTTGTAGTTTAGAAAAATTAGTACAAAGTGATCTGTTCTATAAACTTTCTGTTGGGATTGCTTAGCAGTTGCATCATGATTTAGCTTCACCTAGGTACGTACTGGTTCTAATATCCTATTCTGAATTCTAAATACGTTAGCAGTGTAAAAACTTTTAACGGAATTGGTACGCAATGATTTGTCCTCGGATAACGGATTCATCGTCATAGGACGACTTTGAAATAAATGCATCATATATTCCATAAATTCACATATTGATACATTCTCAAAAGGTTTTCATAGTAATTCAAAGTGAAACTATCATTCATATGATCTTTCTTTTAATTGTTAGAATCAATGCAATCTCTCTTTGTGTATCCATATTGCCATTAGTACAGGTTTCCAAAAACATCGTAGTTTATTGCAAAGGAAAACGTGGATAGGAATCTACGTAGCTACGCATCCTTGCTGTTATTGCTACCAAATCATTGTTAGTCCAATATTATTGTTGACAGTATATTACGCTGTTTCATCTGTCTATCAACGTGTCGTGATCGTCAAATCAATGAGTCTAGAACGAATGGACAAGCCGTCTCGATTTGAGTGGTCTGAGCTTTCAGCAGAAGCAGCAACGATTCGATCAAGTGCCATCACCGTGCATAAACATGCGTAACGTATTGAAGCACATACTAACGTAATAACAACAACAACAACAACAGTAATTGCAACATCAGCATAGATAATGTCACAAATCCAGAGCGTTAAAAGCGTGTCCAACCACGCACCCGCATTGGACGCTCCAGCGTCCTTTGGCAGCTTCGACATTACTTCGCTCGCTACATGGCTATAGTGATCGTAGTAGAAGCCAGGAACCAACCCATGGACTAACGGCTCCAACAAACTGTTAGAACGAGCAGAAAAGAAAAACGGGCACTGAATAGATGCAGTGACTCAACGGAAGACGACGAAAGCGGGTGATCACACGTAGAGACAATTCGGCATGTAGATCAATATTATAATTACAGTCTGCTACTTTTTTAGACTTGCAATCATAAAGGCATGATAGAAGGAGAGATCATTCTTACAACTACACGCTACCCTCTCATACCAACCTAAGTCGGCAAAAGGTGGAATACTCAGGTATATTGACCGAAGATTAGTATAATCTTCAGTCTAGCATAGAACATTGATCTAACCATAGATCCTAGTAAAGCAATTTGCTTTTGAATCCTGCTGCACTTGTATTAGTTTTCTATGCATTAACGTATGAACTGCTTTCAAGCTAATGATAATATAATTAGTAAAACGAAATTTAGTATTATAATATATTAGGTGGTTAAACTTACTCGAATAACATTATCAGAGGGACTCATGAAGTAAGGGTCCGCATATAGCGGCTTTTCTGCTGTGCTTCTCCCACGCACTGCCGTTTCACACCGTCATCATTAATTTAACCATTACTTTACGCCAACTCTTATCAACTTATCTAATAGTTGCTTGTTACAGTGTGATAAGTTAAACAGTTGTGAGCCTCAGGTCCTTTTCATAGGTTAAGTCGTTTCGGCCAGGGAAACAACGAGGCAACGAGACAATACGTTGGGTTTAGCATTTGCATGAGTAACGCCGCTGACACCGCTAAACGGCATTTGCTTTAGTCATGCTCTAATCATGCTCTTCAGATGTACACATCCAACATGATCACCATCATCACTGTTAGCACAAGAAGAACGCAAACCGTATTGAGTACAGCCTGCGGTACCTTCGGCGACCACAGATGCAGAGCTGCGACCAACAACAGACTGGTCTGAACATGCCTGCTTGGCTTGTCCTGACGACACCCGGTCCGTTCTGCTGCTTTGTAGGTATACGTAGAATCTAGTCTTTGTTGTCAAGCGAATCTATAACACTTCCCCATCCCTTGTTGTCCCGACTAGGTCTGCACAGTTTACCTGCACGAGTAAAAAGAGATTCACACATAACGTCCATCAATAAATCGAGGCAAAGCTCTATCGGATTTGAGCCTTCGAGGTCTGTTTATTTACTGTATGCCTATAGGATGCTGAATCTTTCTTACCAGCATACAATTAGAATAATCACCCTACTTGAATGTATTTCACGACTGAGTACGGTAAGGACACATCTGTATGCCATTCGCACAATACGTAGAACCAAGTTAAATGGGCAGCCTTCGTTCCTTTGAAATGCCAAGGCATTAAACAATGGCCTATACCGAGCAAATGAAATAACGACAATTCAATTCATTTGTACAGCTTCTAAGAACTTCCACCTGTAGAGTTTTCTATTAACTTGGATGAAAGTTACATTTATTGCAGTTCTGTGCCAATGACAAACGAAACAGTTGACTTTGTTAACGTCAGCTTTTACGCGGGCTGAGTGGGCGAATCCACGTAAGTCACGTAGATAGACAATCCTCCATTTGACGTTTTCCATAGAAAAATCAAAGAACTCTTCCTGGAACTCTTAGTGCACAAACATATGTTCAGACTTGAGTACCATCGCGTCAAGTAGGATCACCTCAGTGGACAGCTAGCTGCAAATGGCAACATCAAAACAATGATCTATTGTAACAGCTGTTTCGATCAAAATTACTTGCGACAGAGAATCGAGGTACGCTTGTATCGAAATAGTTTATTGTTATTATCCGGAGCGACACGCTAAACTTGTTATCTCAAAGGTTTGGCTTAACAAAAACAACTTCAGGGTAACTTCGAACTGACCTGCAAAGATGCCTGCTTGTCCAACGAGAAATAGAAAAGTTTGAATTTTACAATACCTTGCAAAATCTGCGTAAAAGCGTTTCATTTTTAGGGTAAATGTCGTATACTACCGGCTCTACGTCTTCAGACCAATTTATTGCCGCAGGAAATCGAGGTTCGTGTTTTCTCAAGCTAGTTCTGTAATTTGTCAGAATTTGTCCAGGTCTCTAGGTTGAACAGTTTGGGTCGTGAGAACAAATATCAGCAAAAAACCGTGTTTCGTTTCTAACTGCGGCAAATCACAGCTGGGTCAATGTACTCATGCTATAGGATTCGTAGCGTGCATGATGCACTCTTTGTACAACCTGGAAAATGGCTTTTCAACTTCAATAATGTAGCCATATTCTTACTTTTCCTATTTTGTCAAGTAGCAAACGTTTGAACCCGCTTTCCAATACAAAAGTTTTATGAATAGCTTTTGCGCAGAGATTATTATTGATGAAAAGTTAGTCGTCGAAGCCCGTACATTTGACGACAAGAGGCTCGCGACATTGGTCGATGAAGTTACACGCGTGCTCGCTTTAACACTAGCTTTTTCAGTAATGATAATTTTTCCTTCTAATTGTATTCTAGTCTTCTTTGCTTCTGTGAGTTGTCATTTTTCGTAACTCTATTTTTCAGTCATAAGCAACTGCCTTCCATTTCTCAATATATGTACATTTATCAATATCATTGGTTTCCTCAGCTCGTACTTAAGTTATGATGGCAAAGAAGGACCGATCTCCGAGAAGCGTATCGACACGTGACGACGCCTATTATATTCTATCCATCTAGTTGCTATATTTTATTGTGCTTGCATAAAACTTATACTAGAAGTTTACCGTATTTCTATTTAGCCCATTCGACTTCGTAACGGGCTATTAGTATTGCAATAATCCTGTAAGTATCTCGTCGCCGTTTGGGTATCTGTTTGCCTTTACTACGAACTGCCGGAGAATCGTAGTAGTTTGGCAAACTTCTTAACAATTACTTGCTAATTACTAAGGTATAACACTGAGCTGTACCAATAGACCTCCATATAAGAGTACGATACGGAAATAAAAACAAAGAGTAATGCTTAAAGACGCCGCGTTACGATAGTCGGTCTGTCTCGGGGGAAACGAGTCCGATACTACCCTTTGACGCGACGTTAAATGTGTTCTTGCCCGGCGGTGTGCATGAAGCAATAAATCGGTCGTCACAAAAAAGGCACGACACAGAACAAGGACAAACCATTTTCCAAATCATGAATTGCGTTCACCGATTTTCAACACTTGGCAATGACTCGATATCAAAGTTAGATAATCATAACACCTTAAGAGTCCGAATTGTCGAATCGAAATATTTTGATGCCGACAACAGTTACCGATGTATTCAAAAGCGAGAAAATTGATGAGATGGGAAAGCAAAAAGCGTCGTTTAACCATGTGCGACTATTTTTTTTATTCCGGCTCAGTTGACGTCAAAAGTGCGGAATGGCTCGACTAATTTTGTTAAAAAAAAAACACTTCTATTATTGTATAAACGAATTTTGCTGCTATTTAGTATTGCTGTTATCATCTTCCTATAAAAAAAATTGATGAGACGGTGTGTTAGAAATGCGTGGGACGACGGCTTATTTCATTTAAAACAACCGCGCATATTTCGTGCACTTTAGCAGACGACATTTTTAGCTGCTGTGGGACCCTGCTCAGAAACGAAGCCCAGAAAGTATTCTGACACATACACACATAAGAAGTTCAGAT